GGTGTTAAAAAAATTTCAAATAAATTTCTAAGAAACAAACCTTCTGGTTAAAATTAAGAATGAATTCCATCAAGTGCACCAGGTTTTTTTATATCAAAGAAAGCCTTTACATGTTTCGGTTGATGATGGCCCTCATCAGAATGTGACCAACATTTCAAAGGAAACGTTTCAAGTGTATTATGTGCATTCGCCGTCTCATAAGGGGTAAACGACAGTACTTAAAATGTGTTTTGCTAAAACAAAATTTATCAGCTGATTACGGGTTTTCTGTGAAACCCAGTGATGGTTGTGATGCGTCACAACAGGTCATCTATATTGTGCCGGTCCTGTGCATGCGGGTGGGGTTGTAGTGTTGTGTGTGATGTGTTTTGGTGAACTGTTGTCTATGTGATCTATTGGTTGCCTTTCAATGATGTCCAAAACATGTTATGCAACATCTGAGGTCATGTCTGCCATAAAAAATAACCTTTGGGGATATAAAAGTCAGTGGAAATCCCTGGGCTCAGGATAAGCATCTTAATACAGTGTCCCCCAGCATTACAGACAGTTGAGTTACAAATTTCTTTCTATCCCATGGAAATTATATGACATGACCACAAAATTCTCACAAATTTGCCTTTTTGGAAATTTGCACAAATATTAATTTTTTAAAAAACAAAATGGAACCAATAAATTTGGCCAAGACTAGTTAGTTAGTTATTGGAGAGGGTGGGTTTCCCCATGCACTGAGACCTGTATTGGTCCATTGTGCTTCCCTCTATGATTTCCTACCAGTCTCTATATCCTACCAGTACTGGTGCTTACCATCAGTCCCGCCCAGCCAGCGAGACCAGCTCTACTAGCTGAGAGGTATCTATAATGCTTCCCCCATCTACCAGAGGTATTAGAGACTGCTGTTGGGTGGGAAACGCCCATTAATTTGGCTCAGTGAGGTTCTTTTACGTGCCGTAAAGCTACGACACGGGACCCACAGCTTAAAGTCCCTCCTGGACGACTTGTTCCCTGAATTTTTCCACCCTTAAAAATTTGACGACCTCCGCCGGGTATTTGAACTCGCGTACTACGAGTCATGTGGTGGGAACGTTACCTCTAGACTACGGAGGCCACTTGGCCAAGACTAACTGTTTAAGGAATGACTACCTGTTAGGAAATCTGGTTTACATATGCACATGCTTCAGCAACAACAATGCAGGATGCGCAGCCTACACATGTGTGCCAGAAGTGTGGAGCGATATCTGCTATGCTCATCATATTTTTGATTGTAAAAACGTAAAGCTGTCCCTGTTCTTAATTAGTTAAGCACCATGCCATGAATGGCATGTGTGAATGGAGGTATAGCTCCACCATTCTTGACCTTGGCACTACATGGAGGTGAGTGGTCAGCTTCATGCCCCTGCTACTTTACCCCAAGGGAAAAGAGTCCCCCTGTACCCACTGGGTAAGCCCTAGAGCTGGTCTTAACTACAATGAGAGGGGAAAATCTTGCAGTGTTGGGAACGCAACCTGGGAAATCCAGCTCGTAGCCTGTTGCTATATCAACTGAGGTATCCCAACTCTTATTTTAGATTGTAATGTATTGTTCTTACTTAAGATGTCCAGAAAGAGGCTATGAAGCTAAAAGTGATGACGGGTAAGTATGTGTGCTTATTACAACCATGGACTGAAAAATAATGTGCACAGAAATGCTTCTCCACTTACAATATGGAAGTAGATGGAAAAACAGGGTTTGCTTCACAGACACATTTTCAAAAGCACATCCCTTCCATAAAGCAGAATCATGCTGTATTACTACATTTTAATGAAGTCTTTCAAATTTCCTATTCACTTAGAAATTGAGCTAACAACAGAAGTTGGAAAAAGAATANATGTGTGCCAGAAGTGTGGAGCGATATCTGCTATGCTCATCATATTTTTGATTGTAAAAACGTAAAGCTGTCCCTGTTCTTAATTAGTTAAGCACCATGCCATGAATGGCATATGTGTGAGTGGAGGTATAGCTCCACCATTCTTGACCTTGGCACTACATGGAGGTGAGTGGTCAGCTTCATGCCCTTGCTACTTTATCCCAAGGGAAAAGAGTCCCCTTGTACCCACTGGGTAAGCCCTAGAGCTGGTCTTAATTACAAGGAGAGGGGAAAATCTTGCACTGTTGGGAACGCAACCTGGGAAATCCAGCTCGTAGCCTGTTGCTGTATCAACTGAGGTATCCAACTCTTATTTTAGATTGTAGTGTATTGTTCTTAATTAGGATGTCCAGAAAGAGGCTATGAAGCTAAAAGTGATGACGGGTAAGTATGTGTGCTTATTACAACCATGGACTGAAAAATAATGTGCACAGAAATGCTTCTCCACTTACAATATGGAAGTAGATGGAAAAACAGGGTTTGCTTCACAGACACATTTTCAAAAGCACATCCCTTCCATAAAGCAGAATCATGCTGTATTACTACATTTTAAAGAAGTCTTTCAAATTTCCTATTCACTTAGATACTGAGCTAACAACAAAAGCTGGAAAAAGAATAAACATTCAGAATTACCGGGTTTTTGGACTTTGTCCATAGTCCAGTGTTCTAAAGAGACACTAGAAAACATAATGTTTCAGAAATTGGATCTGTTTCTGCCCCCCTCCCCCAGGGTGAGGGTGGAAACAGATTCAGTTTCCAAAACACTTTGTTTTCTACTGCATTTCAAGAACAGCAGACAATAAAGAAAGTTCAAAAACCTAGTAATTCTGGGTGTTATACACCATTGTCAGGGCCCTTTAGAATCTACTTGAATAAACACGTGACTTCAGCAACTGTGCCAGCTCTATATCCCCCCAATTTGTATCTCTGTATCTTCAAATCTTAATTTTTACAATATCAGTTTCTAAACAGACTCATACAATGAGACATGAGTTAACAAATAAGAGCATCCCAAGTTAACCTTTCAAAGGATCTGTAATTATATATACATCTGNTGAAAAATAATGTGCACAGAAATGCTTCTCCACTTACAATATGGAAGTAGATGGAAAAACAGGGTTTGCTTCACAGACACATTTTCAAAAGCACATCCCTTCCATAAAGCAGAATCATGCTGTATTACTACATTTTAAAGAAGTCTTTCAAATTTCCTATTCACTTAGATACTGAGCTAACAACAAAAGCTGGAAAAAGAATAAACATTCAGAATTACTGGGTTTTTGGACTTTGTCCATAGTCCGGTGTTCTAAGGAGACACTAGAAAAATTAATGTTTGAGAAATTGGATCTGTTTCTGCCCCCCTCCCCCAGGGTGAGGGTGGAAACAGATTCAGTTTCCAAAACACTTTGTTCTCTATTGTTTTTTTAGAACACCAGACAATAAACAAAGTTCAAAAACCTAGTAATTCTGGGTGTTATGCACCATTGTCAGGGCCCTTTAGAATCTACATGAATAAACATGTGACTTCAGCAACTGTGCCAGCTCTATATCCCCCCAATTTGTATCTCTGTATCTTCAAATCTTAATTTTTACAATATCAGTTTCTAAACAGACTCATACAATGAGACATGAGTTAACAAATAAGAGCATCCCAAGTTAACCTTTCAAAGGATCTGTAATTATATATACATCTGATTTAACATCAAAATACTCTGCAGTTTGCCAAAATAGTGTATTTCGTGTTTCATCAGATTCTTGGAATAAACACTGATTATTTCTTTAAATACGATTAAGTGACTGGTCTTCATACTGGAGACAAAATGCACTTCCTGTGATGCAGGAACTGGATTATTAAATTTTATTTAGATGAAATTCTGGCTTCCTAAGATTAAGTCAGTGTTTCATTATATAGACCAGTAGACAGCAGTAGCAGATACAGCAGAACTACATATGTATTTTAGTACTACAATCTTCATTTTGTACAATCAATGCATTAAGAAGCTGTCACTGGTTTGTGAGGGCACATACAGTTTAGACTCACGCACTCCAAAGTATGAACAAAACTTAACAGGACAATCGGAGGGTACATGATAGAAGCATACAAAACAGTTCACTCCTACATGCGTGTGGTGTGAGGTATTGGATTCTGCCTTTAAATAAATTAAAACATAAATATAAAATTCCCCATTTGGAAATTTACATAAATATTACATTTTTTAAAAACAAAAATCAAAACAAATTCAGCCAAAACTAATTTATTAAGGAATTCACAATGATATGCACATGAATCAGTGACACAGAAGGGTGTGTATGCAGACAGAGGGTACCATATGCACACGTCAAACGAAACAGGGGTGGCTGGTGAATCGTTTGCTATTTTCAACTTATTTTATGTTGTGCTGCATGTTACCCTTATTTAAAATGTCTGCAAAGGTGACATTTTAAGTTTATTTTTGTGTACCTGGTACTTCTTCTGACAAAAGGAAAAAAACTGGTTATATTACAACAGTGGGCAGCAAAAATTTTGACAGGAATGAATGCCCAATTATACATGGGAGCCAAACATGAAACAACGGCGATGTTATGGGTTTACACAACATGGACTCATAAGTTGAACAAATTTAAGGGATGCGTCATACAAAAGGACATATGTGATTTACATGTCAACACATACACAAACCACAACTGGTATACACACTGCTGTAAAACGAAAAAACCTAAACTATCTAACACACTTGGTGGAATACCCACTTAATCTTTGTCAATTTAAAGTCTCCCCTTTTGCAACAATCAATTTCAACTGTTCTAAATTAATGGTCTGTCCAGTTTCCTCCATTTAACATTTTCCTCAATTTAGTGTTCAAATCCACTGCTTTACAAGGGCATATTAAATGGGGGTTTCGTTATATTCCTAACTTGCAGATGTTAAACCTATCCATTTCAAATTAATGTAAAAATTAAAATAAACCAAAATGAGAAATTCAAAACTTTACCAAATCCAGAATTACACAGACAACATTGACTTGTTGGAAACTCTTATATCAAGTTCTGATGACTATGCAAAATTAATAATAAAGAATAAAAAGCTGTACTTACATCCCTCACCTGACTCCAACTTAGACTGCAGCTCTTTTATCTGAGACTCCTTTCCTTTCATATCATGAGATAAGATTTCAAACTTGTGTCGGAAGTCCCGGAGTTCTCTGGAAATGTAATGAAATTTGTTAAGATCCAACTGACCCTATACAGCAGGGACTTTCTTCAGAAGCTTGTACTGTACAGCAGGGCTGTCCAACTGGCAGCATATGGACCACATGTGGCCCACAAATGCATGTTCATACTTTAATCTTTAAAAAAGTGACAAATACTGTGGGAAAAACTTTATGAAAAGAATGGTTCAAAACTATACAACATAACTTTTCAACTGATTTTGTGTGACAACTAAATTACTTAGAAGAATCTGGAATTAGTACAACTCGACTTTGTTTGGTGGGTTATTTCACAATGCTTTCAGTATTGCATGCTCTACAGCATCTAAGGGCAGGATGACACATGAAGGCGAATGGAAATGATTTGGAAGGGAGCGATCATGGCTTTTTTTTTATTGTTGAAACCAGGTGGGACTGAAATTAAACGGGACACATCAGCTGTTGGTCTACGCCGATGATGTGAATCTACTGGGTGATAATGTAGATACCATAAACAAAAACACACAAACTTTAATTGACGCAAGTAAAGAGGTTGGTCTAGAAGTAAACACAGAGAAAACTAAGTATATGTTACTGTCTCATCACCAAAATGCAGGGCAAAATCATGAGATAAAGATAGGAAACAGATGTTTTGAAAATGTGACACAGTTCAGATATTTTGTAACAACGATAACGATCGAAACCTGATTCAGGAGGAAATTAAGAGGCGATTGAACTCGGGTAATGCTTGCTACCATTCAGTCCAAAACCTTTTGTCTTCTCGTCTGTTGTCCAAAAACATAAAAATTAGAATATACATAACTATAATTTTGCCTGTGGTTCTGTATGGGTGTGAAACTTGGTCTCTGACATTAATGGAGGATCATAGACTGAGGGTGTTTGAGAACAGGGTGTTGAGGAGAATATTTGGACCGAAGAGGGATGAAGTGACAGAATGTTGGAGAAAAGTGCACAATGAGGAGCTTAATAACTTGTACTCTTCTCCA